CCCAGCTCGTCTCGTCATATCCACGCCACCTCAAGTGGAACTCGCGGCGCGTACGCCCGTAGCCGGTCGTTCGTCCTTCGCGCACATCTAAGATCTGTTCCACCTCGTACACGCCCACGCCCACATCGCGCGCCTCCCAGCTATCTTCCGGGAGGAGCTCCTCGTCGAAGTCAAAGCGTTCATTTACGGGCACTGTCAACTGCAGTTCAGGCCGTGACGGGAATTCTCGGACGGGTTTCAGTTTGGAGACGTGTATGATCGGGAACAACTGGTACGGGGTCCCGTGAGTCTCTAGACGTACAGCGTACGCGCTAACCAGTTCCGCGACGCGGAACGGCCCGTGCCACATATGCGCGAGGTTCCGCGCGTATTCCGGCTTGACTGGATCCGGATATAGCCAGACGCGTGAGCCCCGTTCTATCGCGTGCTCCGTGGCGTGCGCGTTTTGGCGCGCCGCTCTCGCGTCCACTGCCTCGCGGACCAGTTCCAGGGATTGTGTGCATGCTATCTGGTAGTGGCGTTGAATACGCATCCTCCACCGGCGAGCCTCTGCGTCCCGATGCGAAGTGTTCCCCACGGCTAACGTCGCTTCTAACGTGGACCGTGGATCCCAGCCGTGCTCGAGAAAAAATGGGGTTTCGCTCCGCGTTCGGGCGTGAGCCGTGTTAAGCGCATACGTCAGTCGTTCAGCGTATTGGTCCCAGTCACGTTGATCAATGTCGGCAATGTACATCTTGATGGTCCTCGTAATAGTCTGCACCATGCGGTCTGCCGCCCCGTTCGTTTGCGGACGGTACGCGAGCGTCGCACGTTGCCGCTGGCCCATCAGCTTGTTAAAGGCCCTGAAAAAGTCTGACATGAAGCCGGGCTCGCGGTCGTGACGAATTGCTTCGCTGGCGCCAAATCGTCTAAAGACGGCTTCTTCGTACGATTCCGCGACGGTTTGAGCCGTTCGAGACGCGCTTGTCATTTGCGATCACAAAACCCCTGAAGAGGTCTACCCAGATCAGGAGCTACGTGTTACCCTTGTGCGATGCCGGTAGTGACGGGATGTGGTCCATCGACACGACTTGGAACGGGTACGTCGCGACTATTTTGCCCGGCGACTCTC